ATTGTTGATGTCCCTGGCATACTCTCAAAACTAGACAGTGATTCCTTATATTTTCATTTCATTGTGAAATAAAATTATAGATTTAAACTTTAAAAATGTAGACATAGACTTAAATCACACAAGGACTTCCATGCCAATTTCAATAGTCCTCGCCCACTGACGTCAAACACAAAGGCAGCCGCACGAGATTTACATGCATATTTGGCCTCATTAGCGTCAGACACAGAGACAGATGCGCACGAAAATTGCATGCGTATTAGGCCTCCTTAGCTCCTGACCTATCGACCTGCCTAATTTACATTCCGGCAGAATTATCAAGAAATAAACTCCGTCAACTTTCAAAGAGTTATCACAGAGAAAAAAATAGAAATGGAAATATTTCAATGTAACTTGGCACACAAATAGACAATATTAAGATACATAATTTTATGCATCGGTTTTTGATTTCGATGAACGGTGTTGCCATGGTTACTAAAAATAGAATTTCTATGAAATTCCTTTAAATTGCTACTCCTCCTAAATATGGCAATGGTTTCTTTTCTCTTCCTTTGTTATAAGTACAAACCAGTAGAGCTACAGTCTCGATAAAGACTTCTGGTATTTAAATAATGTAGCAAAGATTGGGATGATTACATAATTTGAAACCTATCAAAAATAATTTGGAATTCGATGTAACGAATTTAATTTAAAATAATGAATTTAATCTGTTATAGCACATTTGTTGATTTCATTATAACGAATTCAAAATTTGGTAATACGAATTAAACTTGTTTTAACGATTCTAAAACTTGTTATACCGAATTGTATTCGTTTAAACGAATTCTATAATTTGTTATAACGAATTAAATTCGTTTGAACGAATTCGACAAAGCGTTATATCGAATTCAAATATATTTTTCTATAGGCCCTGATTGTTGAATTTGATTAAACCAATTTTATTCGTTATAACAAATTTAAGAACTTGTTTATTTGTTATAAAAAAACATTAGTATTTAATTAAAAGAATTTTATTTGTTGTAATAAAATTTTAATTCGTTTAAACGAATTAAATGCGTTATAAAAAATTATAGAATTCGTTATAATAATGCATTCAACAAATTTCTTATAAAAGATTAAAATCGTTATATGAATTCGAAGAAATTGTTATAATGAATCAAATTACTTATAACAAATTCGACAATTCGTTATATCGAATTTTAAAACCTGAGTGCTAACAAGAAAGATACATAAAATCACTTCTATTATATTAATATACAATACAGTTTAGAGATTTGTCTACCCTAGATAAATATATAGCATCAAAGCAATGCGTGAGCATGAAAAGAATTAAATACTATCGTGATTTTACATAATGTTAACTGGTTTGATGCAGCAGGAAGGCTTGGTCGTCCAGTAAGAATCCGGTTTTCATCAGAACGATGTGTAACTACTCGAGTTTTACTACATGTATTTTCCAGAGGTTTTTTTACTACATGTATTTGCATTTTCAAGAAATATTATCAATTTCAGCTAAGTGTGCAGTTTTGCATTACGTCACAACCTATGATGACAGCTGCATTCAAGGTAAATAGTACACGCCTCCTAATCGCAAGTTTTACGACTGGAGGTTTCTTCTAATCCCTGATTGGTTGCTCGTGCGACAGACTATTTCCGTGTCAATGTTGATAATATGAGTTGACTAATCACACAGCGGGGGCGTGAATTGTTTACGCTGGATGCAGCTGTCAAACTAGATCGTGACGTAATGTAAAACATCACACTTAACTGCAATCCATACTATTTGGTAACCGATATCGCCTGTAATTTGTAATTTCTGTATATACACTTATACTTTCTTGGTCAAAAACTTGAAACGGGTCAGTCGTCTGAAAATGAAGGACAATACCCATTTTAAAACCAACTTCAGTAGTGTGAATCAGAGCAAGGTTTGTTAATATTGGGCTAAGGTCACCTAATATTGGGCTTCAGGTCACCTAAGGAATCACTGTCTAGATAGTATAGTATGTCAGGGCATCAACGATGGTGGGAAACGTAGGATAATTTGCATAAGGGGCTCAGCCCCCCCCCCCAACTTTTTTCGCAAAGTCAAACATAATATAGACATTTAACATTGGGGCGTAGGTTTAGCCCCCCCCCCCCCCCTTTTAAGAAGCACATTGAAGTTTAGGTCCAAAAATTGTATTTGGTAGTGGTTTTTAAAAAATTTGGTACTGGAAATGTTCCTTACCCACCCCCCCCCCCATCCCCCCCACGAAAATAGGGTTTTCGTGTTTGGACAATAAACATTTATCTTTTTTATAAATGTTCTTTTTGTTTGTCAAGGTTTTCCGTATGTTGGATATTTTTTTTGGGGGGGGGGGGGTCTTTCACTTAGGCCCTCCTTACTTTAAATTTGCTTCCGACGCCAATGTAAAATGTTAAAGAGAAAAAATAGCACTTTATGTCAGTTGACCCATGATTGACCCCAGAAGGGATATAACTCTTGTAAACATCACACTGTAAAAGGTGACATCACAATAACATCAATATACATTCTAAAGATATTTTGCATAGAAATGACTACAGGTATAACAGCTGGTATTTTTCAAAAATTAAAATCCATACAATATGCATATCTCTGAAATATGTACAATTGATAAGCAAAGAAAAAATAATTTCTGTGATAGTATCTTGAAAACAGTAGAAGTTATTCAGACAACTCAAATGGAGTATCTGGTCTTATATGCAATATTTGCATGAATTTAGTTCTTACCCTGAAAACTGTTGGATGAGTTGTCCAGAAAGACTCTTATTGTAGCCACTATCCAACAAATAACCCATTATATACATTTTCACTATTTCAATAACCGCATTTACATATACCTACAGAAAACCCAGTTAAAAATCTCTTCAACTCTCTCTCTCTCTCTCTCTCTTGTATTTGAGAGGCTGAGTGTGCAAATCAACAAAAGACACACTACATATGGAAACAAGAGGCCCATGGGCCTTATAGGTCACCTGAGCATTATGCAACAACTTTCCAGTGATTGAATTTGATTCATGTTTTAAGCCAGATGCTATGGCATTCACAATTTTGAAAGAGGCACCATTGATCCATCGTCGCAAACCATGGCCCAAATGTACGCTCCTCTCCCATCTGGCCGTGGTTGAACGAGGAAAGAATTCTTCGTAGCTCATTAAAACATTGACCAATGCGAGTAAAGCATAGTCGGATGATGAACTTTATCGCGACCTTTCAATATCCAATCGCAGTATAGGAAATATTTCTTGTATACTGTTGACGTCAGTTGTTGATTTCGATTGCGATGGAAACAAAACTTGCCAATGACTGAATATGATGTCACAATAGAGAGGCGTAAATATTCAAGATTACGACACTTTTTGTGATCAAGCAGCCGCGGGTAGGAGAGAGCTATACGCGGACTCCGGACCGTGGCTTGAGACGATGCCATTGATCATTATGACTATACATATAGCAGTTGCTTAGTTTGGGTATTTAATACCCATAGGCAGGATAGGGGAACAAAAAATGCATTTCAACTAATCAGTAGTATTCAGCAATAATCAGTAAAGCCCCTACCACACATGAACCCCTGACCCTTAGGCCGAGATCCACACATTGCACAATTTTTGAAAAGGCATCCTTGCTTTTCAAAAATATTTGATTAATACCAAGGAACAGATTTCAAACAATTCATTCGTTTTCAGTATACAAGTACAGCCCCCCTCTGTGGTACCCCTGACCCTGGGGCCTTGAAATTCACATTTCTGGAAGATAAGGGCCCTTGCTCATAACTATATAGTTAGTTCAGTTGCTTTAAAAATACCCAGGAGCAGAGAAGAAAATTTTCAAAAATTTTAATGTATTTCCACTATATAATCAATAGAGCCCCGCCCTAACACCAGAACCCCTGACCCTGGGGCCATAAAATTCACAATTTTGGAAGAGGCACTCTTGCTCATCATAACTATGCACTTATTTAGCCTATTTAATATCTAGGAGCAGAGAAGAAGATTTTTAAAGAAATAATATATTTTCACTATATAATCAATAGAGCCCCGCCCTAACACCAGAACCCCTGACCCTGGGGCCATAAAATTCACAATTTTGGTAGAGGCACTCTTGCTCATCATAACTATGCACTTAGTTAGTTTATAATACCTAGGAGCAGAGAAAATGTTTTTCAAAGAATTCATGTATTTTTACTATATAATCAATAGAGCCCCGCCCTTACACCAAAACCCCTGACCCTGGAGCGCCATAAAATTCACAATTTTAGTAGAGGCACTCTTGCTCATCATAACTATGCACTCAGTTAGTCTATTTAATACCCATGAGCAGAGAAGAAGATTTTCAAAGAATTCATGTATTTTCACTATATAATCAATAGAGCCCCGCCCTAACACCAGAAGTCCCTGGTGCAATAAATTCACAATTTTGGTAGAGGCACTCTTGATCATCATAACTATGCACTCAGTTAGTTTATTTAATACCTAGGAGCAGAGAAGAAGATTTTCAAAGAATTCATGTATTTTCACTATAATTATAATGAATAAGGGCCCCGCCCTAACACCAGAACCCCTGACCCTGGGGCAAAAATATTCACAATTTTGGTAGAGGTACTCTTGCTCATCATAACTATGCACCTAGTTAGTCAATTTAATACCCAGGAGCAGAGAAGAAGATTTTCAAAGAAATAATGCATTTTCACTATATACTTATTTAGCCCCACCCTAGCACTAGAACCCCTGACCCCAGGGCCATGAATTTCACAATTTTTTTGGTGGTTTTGGCCCCACCCCTCAGGCCCCAGGGGGGCAGGGATCATGAAATTCACAATTTTTGTTCCCCTTCACCCATAGATGCTTTGTGCCAAATTTGGTTGAAATTGGTTGAGTGGTTGCAGAAAAGAAGCAGAAAATGTTCAAATGTTAACACACGATGGACGACGGACGTCGCACGACGACGGAAGAAAACGGATAGCAATAGGTCACCTGAGTTTACTCAGGTGACCTAAAAATACTAAACTTCTTTTAAAAATAAATTTTAATCTTGTAATTGCATTAACAAATTTCTGTAGGTCCACAAGACCTGAAGAGCGGTCGGCCTGTTGCTTGGATCCACATGTTTACATGCCATATGAATGTCCAACAGCCTCAGCTGAAGATTGGTTGCTTGGAGACTATTTCCAAGGAAATAATTACACACACTTGGAACTTTCCAGATGTCTGTCTTTTCATCATAGGTCTGCATTTCCCTGTCATTGAAGTCTGTATTCCTGCTCCATCGCTGTTCTGGAGCTACAAACTCTCCATCTAGCTCACGATTTCCACATTTGATACCTCTCCATTTCCCATTGACCTTGGTTGTCAAAGCAACAGAATCAACATCATTCAGGACCAATCGCATATCTCCTGACAGCAAATACTGTGTGAATACTTTGTCTAAGCTGTTGGTATCACACATCACATACGCGGTGTCAGCTGAAGTGGAGTGAAGCTTGGAGAGAATTTCCAAGTAGTCAATGCATAACTGGAATCTTGTGAAGATATTGTTCATTTCTGGAAATGTATCTAGATGTAGGTTAAACTTGGTAGCTTCACCAAGGGAGTGAAATTCAGTTATCATAATATTATCACAGAAACCTATCAGCTGTACAATTCTCTGGTTTCCATGGAAATGTTTCAGAACTCTAATTCCTTGCTGAAAGTCCTCATGGTATTGAAGAGTTGTGAGTTGACTATAGGCTACGACATAATCCTTCCATCTGGCAACATACACCTGTAAAATCAAAAAATTCTTGATAGCCCAGCTTATAAAATTATTTAAAATATTTTCTTTTCATTCATATTCTAAATTGTTGAGAACTTGTCATTTAAAGCTTTCAGATATTAAAGAATACATAGAACCTTTAATACAAAATTCAGAATGGCTATTTTCCTCAGTAAGTTGACCTTGAGGATAAATACCTCTTTGACGAGTCCTCTCCCGATTCTGTTCATCTTCTCCACCTTCTGTACATCGTCACACGTAAGCCAAGGCTGACACTGGTGCATCCCATACAGGCTAAACTGTCCATATGGACAGACTGGTCGACAGAGTTCCTTCCCTTGAATAATGCTCTGGATACAAATAGGCTCTAACAAGTGTGTGTTTTTATGTGATGAATACCAAGTTAAATAAAATATTGGTGTGTGTACAAGGATAGCAAGTGTCAGGTAGAAACAGTTTGTTGGAGAAACTGAAAAAAAAAATTAAAATATCTACATGAATATGATATTTTAATGATCTGCATGGCTTGGTAGAATTACACTTTACTAATACTTTTTATGAATAAAAAATTCAAAATGTTACTGTTGCTGCTTAGTAAACACACCAAACTGTCAGTGATTGAAATATCAATAATTTCATTACTATAGGCCTTAATTCAGAGTTGAAATGGCAGAAATGCTGCAGAATGCTAATCTAAAGTTGCATATGCATTCAATAAATCAATAAAACACATATATGCATGTACATGTACAAGTACAGAGTTCCCGAAACGCACCGGTCCACCGGGGATCCCCGGTAAACTTTGAATGGGACCGGTAAAATCTTAATTTTATCGGTCAAAATGTCCGATGGTTTTTTTTTACAGACTGTATAACGTTTACATATAATCTTAACAAAATCATTTAATTCAATTGTCCTGACAATAAACAAATGCAAAACTAAAGGAATGAAAAAAAACGTCAGGGGCGCGCCAGATCTTGTTTAAATAAAATGTAGACGGTGATTGTCTAACATAAAAAGCTACATATTAAAATAATAATTTCCATAAGTCTGGGAGGAAAAACAGTTTTAAAAACACTGTCAAACAAATATTTTCCCTCTAATAAATATATGCACTCTGTAGTTCTGACAGTGAAAAAATGTGACAATCTACTTTCGTTTTGAAGGACGAATTTGCAGGGTTGCAAGAGTTGCCTGCTATTTCTGCTTGATTACAGACAATTTTTTACCATTTATTATTTTCTCTATAATTTAATCTATTAGCATGATAATATTATACCAACTTCTGGATTTTTTTTAATGTATTTGATAGCATTTAAAATACATGCGCGTTTTTCCCCTTTTCTAAAAATAGCGGACTGACTTGAATGTAGTAAAACGACAACAAATTCACTTAAAAATCATCATTTTCATGATAAATTTGCATATCTTTATATAATTAGTACATATTTTTAACTGTGTGGAGGTTGTATAATAAATTTTAACTAGTCAGAAATATCGGACGTTTTCCAGGCTTTTTAAAACGAGTTTGATATTTTACGTAATATTTTTCCTGGCACATAAAATACCAAAATCCAAAATCCAAAAGAAAAAAGCCTGGAAAACAACATATATTTCCCACTAATTCCAAACAATCAACCAAGAGTTGTCATGTTGCAGATTTTATTTAAAAAAAAATTTAAAAAAAATCTGTCAGAAAGGACATATTAAATAATTTTATACGATGAATTAAGCGTTGGTCATCACACGCCGTCGGCGACGTCAAATCCTGCATACACAGGCCTTATAGAAAATATTTTAATAATTTTTTTTTAAAAAATCTGCATTTGCCATCTTTTTATTTACACATATTATTTATTATATCGTTACAATTTCCAATCCTATAATATGTTAAATTTACATACAAAAAATTAATGTCCGGTAAATTTTACAACTGTCCGGTGAATTTTGAATATTTACAGGACAATTGTCCGACATATTTTTGACTAGTTTCGGGAACTCTGCAAGTATTTCTTCCATCAAGCGACATGTGAAAGATTTAATATCTGAAATAATGTATCCCTCTCCATTAAAAAAAAATCGAACACCTCCTCCCCAAATAAAAGGGGGGACAGCTGTATTAATGCAGCTAAATTATATAAGAACTAAATAAATCTAATCAAAACAAATAAAGTATCAAATAATATAAATCTCTAGGATTATTTAAAGTAAAACTGCAAGTGCTCAACCCTATCATTCAAACTTGACTCTTACTGACTCTTAGTCTTAGCGGTTAAGAAAATGTTTACGGCCAATTTGATACGGGTTTACAAATCCAAGGAATTATGAATAGAATTCAGCTTATATGAGTGGGATTTAAAAGTTGCTAGAAGAAATTTAATGGGAAAACAAGATCTGTAGACAGGAGTCAGGTATATATAGCCCTTTGGCTGTCCCCTCGCCACTGCCAAGATAAGCATGATAGAAGCATTGCTCTGTCATATGTACCGGATCCAGTGACTGTGAAGATGATAATTATTTCGCTGTTGTCCAAGATGAAAAACAACTAAAATGCTTTTTTATTATTTCAAAGAAATTAAAAAGAAAACAAATCATTACCGCAGAAACTGTTGATTTTTTCAGCTGTTTTATTTCGTCGTGTGGTTTCTAGTTTCGATTTCATTCCATTTTATTTTCACTTTCTTAAACGTGATGCACTAGTATATTGGCCTGTCAAAATATTGATTAAAGCACCATAAGCATAAGTTATTTGATTCTATGGATAAGAATTATTAAACTATTTGAAACAATATACTTAACAATATTTTTAGAGATCAGTTTTAAATGTCTGTGGTTCAAAAGCGCATCACGTGGCGCGTTCCTTTTCCGGTTATCGGCCATAAGTAAACAAGGTACGAGTGAGACTTGTGTCGCAATCAGAGCCAATCCATGATAAAATAAACAAAAAATTGTTAAAGTAACTTTTCTGTATAATAAATACGTTAAATCTTTTGTGTTTTTCATCACTATTTCGGCGCTAGGAAAGCTTAATTAAGAAATTTTAAGAAGGGGGGGGGGGCTTGACAGCATTGGTCACTGCAGGGTTTAAACTTAACTGAAATTTCCACGAGCCATGTGGGCTCCTGACATTTCAAATTTAGGAGCCCACTGCTAAATTTGTTAGCCCACAGTCTCTGTGATTTTTTTAAAAAAGCATAGATACTGGGACAAAAAGTAGATACAAATGAAATACATATATAAATTCATCTGTTTAAAATTGGAGTTCTTACTTTATAAAAATCAAATGTCATAAAAATATTTAATCAAAGGAAATAGAATTGTATTCAATAAACATTTTTACTATCTTTTTTTTTTTTTTTGCTTGGTAATACATGTATATAAATACGTAGCCCTGGTACATGTCTTCAACTGATAAATTGACAATGACACAATAAGATTTTCTAGGTTAAATATTTTAACTACAGCATATCTGAAATAGGTGAAAACACTTACTATTCATATGACTGAGTAGTTGGGAGTTATCTCTCACGTATCAACCATTTACATAGGGTTGGAGGAAATTCGGATTAGGAAAAAAGACGATCGTTTTAGGGAATTTCACAAATCGTGTAGTACTTTAAATGGAAAAGATGAAGGATATTTACGAACAATAGGACAATACTGCTGTGATTTATTTCATTCTTCTGTAGTTTTTAATCAAAAACCTGCATAAAATGTCTGTTTTTCAGTAAGGGGACTGGGAACGAATTCGGCCCATGCAGAATTTTTATTCGCCACGTTGGCGAGCAACTTACAAATTTTATGAGCCCACACCAATTTTTACTCGCAATTTGCGAGTGGGCGAGCGTTAAGTTTAAACCCTGTCACTGTGTACATGTTTTGTTTTTAAGGCCTGAGGATGAAGTTCAATAAAATGGTCACCTCCTCAAGGAGGAAGAACAGAAAGCGTCACTTTAATGCTCCCTCGCACGTTCGTAGGAAGATGATGAGTTCTCCCCTATCCAAGGAACTTCGCCAAAAATACAATGTGAGAAGTATGCCCATCAGAAAAGACGATGAAGTGCAGGTAAATTTCGTAGTTCTATATGTTTCAGTTCTTTACATTTAACTGAATGTCCTGTGTCAGCAATAAAAATTATTCATGGGCCAATTTGCAGATGCAGCCAGGGCTTCCACACTAATATCACTCCGATTTTGGTGAACTGTTGCATGAGCCTTTAGCAGGTCCAGTCCAAAGACTATTTCTACCTATGTATCTATTAAATTTAAAAGCTACGTAGGTATTTAAAGCCACCCAAGGTAGCTATTTTTACCTACTTTTTATAATTTCAGCATTTTGCGGCACAAAGACCAAACGGCGCAACATGGTGAATACCATATCTCTTGATACAGTCTTACTAATGATGAATACGACAAAATGTTGGCCAAAAAATGATTACTTCCTGAATTGGCAATTTTACTTTAGTTTCTACGCAAAATTGATAATATACAAAGTAATCATTTTTTGGCCAAGTTTTTGTCATATCCATCATCAGTGTGACTGTATTAAGAAATTTTGTTCTCACTATGTTGCGCCATTCCTGCATTTGGCCACAATATGCAAGTAAAGCAGAAAGTAGGTAAAAATAGCTACTTTGGGTAGCTTTAAATACCTAGGTAGCTATTAATAGCTATGTAGGTAGAAATAGTCTTTGGACTGGACCTGTTTAGTTTTGTCTGTGATAACAAAATAAAGTCTATAATTAAGGGTACTTACCACAAACAAAAAATGGATGCACGGGTTGATATATATTTTTTGACTGATTTTGATTTGAAATGACATAAATGATAAATCCCTGAAATATTAAGAAATCGTAGGTTTTCCTTGGTGCTTAGATATGAGATTTTGTTTTGCTTTCTATATAATTCCATACAAAATTTTGCACAATTTTTTAACCTTATGACAAAATCTTATATAATTCTCTCACTCTACTTGGTAAACATTATTCAGGATGTCAATTTAAATGTAAATCTATGAAAAATAATGCTGATTTCTGAAAAAAGTTTGTTTGTGTTATTTATCCTTAAGGAATAACTGTATAATTCTTTGGTTTCATGATGTCATCAATTGAGTGGCTTACATGATAATTTGCATATTAAACATTATCACACAAGTCAATCAATTGATCATCGTTATGAAATTAAAAAAAATCTGACAGTTATTCCTTATATTTACTTGCTCTTGATTTCGCCAATCTACATGCTGTAAACCTGACTTCTGTCTCTATGATTTTTTTAACCATGCCTACCGATTAACCAGTACATTTATGTAGAAATAAAATACATTTACGATTTGTAATTTTATCTTGGACAAATACATTAGAAATGTATAAATATTATGTAATCAAATCAAAAAATACAGATGGAATTGAAATTTTTAACCTAAATACTGTGTTGTGAGATGTGTATTGTTTTATTATGTATATAATTAGTAACATTAAGTTTCTTGAACATTCCAGAGTGGTCAACATGTTTGGTCATTTTATCTAGAACATTCTTAAATTTTGTGTATGTCCAGATTGTTCCAGTAATATCATGTTTTAACATTTTCTAGAATATTCTAGATTTATAATACTGTATAAATACCCTGTCAATTCAATGCATAGATATACAATAATTGTGAATACTTTGTCGTATAAGCACTATTGAGATATAACTGGGATATATATTTTCACTGGGACATTGTGTGCAGCAACGGACACTCTGATGTATGTATTTTTAGATTCTTGCTAAGTTTGTACTTTACGTTTCATACACTTATTATATATTACTGTAAATAAATTTTTGTTAAGTTTAAATTGTGTTATTGATCTTTGCTGGCATTTTGGGTAATTCTGACCCATAACAGAATTGGGGGCTCGTCCGGGATAAAGAATTTTTGCACTTTTGCAGTTTATTGTCAGAATTTTGTTAATTGAACCGTTAAATTTGATTATAAGCCAGCAGAAATCAACATGGTGTTTTCGGTCACAGACTCTCTTAGTTCACCAAGTGTTCAGGTTTTTGATACGTTAAAAAAAGATGACTTGATCGCATTAGGTTTGCATTTTGGGTTAGATGTTAAATCCTCTCAGAGAAAGCAAGACATTAGAATTAAGGTTGCAAACAAACTAGTAGAAGAAAACATCTTTGAAAAATACGATCTTCCAGAATATACAGTTAAATCAGAGTTAGGCTCTTACAAAATGGCAGAATATCAGTTTCAATTAGAGTTAGAGAAAATGCGATTAGAAAGAGAAAAATTAGAAAGAGAAGATCGAGAAAAAGAAAGAGAAGAGCGAGAAAGAGAAAGAGAAGAACGAGAGCGTGAACGAAAATTTGAATTAGACAAATTAGCAGCAGAAAGAGAAGAGCGTGCAATGAACTTTGAATTAGAGAAATTAAAATTACAAAACCAACCAGAACCGTCAGTTGTCAAAACTGAATTTGACGCAGCAAAAAACATTAGGTTAGTTCCGAAATTTCAAGAAAAATCTGTAGACAAATATTTTCCCCAATTCGAAAAAGTCGCAGAGAATCTTAAATGGCCACAACACGTTTGGTCAACAATGTTACAAAGTGTACTGGTTGGAAAAGCGGCTGAGGTATACTCTGCACTAGGGGTAGTTGAGAGTTCAGACTATGAGAAGGTCAAAGCAGCAATATTAAAAGCATATGAATTAGTACCTGAAGCATATAGACAAAAGTTTAGAAAGTATAGAAAGTTTGATAATCAAACATTTGTTGAATTTTCACGAGAGAAAGAAGATTTATTCGATCACTGGTTTAGATCCAAGAAACTTGATAAAACTTTTGCTAATTTGCGCCAAGTCATCCTGGTAGAAGAGTTTAAGGAATGTGTTCCTCAAGATTTGAAAACACATTTAGAGGATAAGAATGTGAAAACTCTTGAAGAGGCAGCAGTCATATCTGATACTTATGCTCTGTCACATAAAAAGAATTTTGTTTCAAGATCTCAGACTAGCAATAATTCTACCAATTCAGACACATATAAAAAGAGTGGTTCAGGGTCTCAGTCTTTCACAAGTTCCCAGTCTCCATCCCAAGGTGGTTTTAAGTCCGGTCCAGGACGTGTTGAAGGATCGTCTGGAATAGGGTCGCTTCCTACTTGTAGTTATTGTAAGAAAAAGGGTCATCTGATCAGTGAATGCTTTAAACTTAAGAGAAAAAATGATTTTGATAAAACTCAACCACACGCTTGTGCGGCAGTTAGAGGTGATAGAGAAGCCTTAGTTTCCATTTGTTCTGACACTCCTGATGTCCAGGGTTCACAGTCCAGTTCTATTGATTCTATGGAGGATTATAAGCCCTTTATGTCTCAGGGATTTGTCTCACTCGGTGACTCTAGCGAAATAAAACCTGTCCAGATTTTGAGAGATACTGGTGCTGCACAGACGTTATTGTTAGAGGGCGTGCTTCCTTTGTCTGAGCAGACTTCCACTGGTGGGTCAGTTTTATTACAGGGTGTGGAGCTAGGCGTCATTGATGTTCCCCTGCATAGAATTAGTTTGAAGTCAGATTTAGTTACTGGACCTGTTATCGTAGGTGTTCGACCTACTCTTCCCGTTCCAGGCATTTCTTTGTTGTTAGGCAACGATGTAGCTGGTGGAAAAGTTGTACCAGATCCTATAGTTTGTGAGAAG